TATGTATATATATATATATATATATATATATATATATATATATATATATATATATATATATATAAAAGAAAAAAAAAAAAAAAAAAATTCAACCGGGTACCCGGTAGGATTTCTAATACCCGGACCCGACCCGGTTTGGGAGCACCGGGTACCCGAACCCGGAAAAAACCCGGTTACATCAAAAATTACCCGATCCGGTCGGGTAATACCCGACCGGGTCGGGTTATACCCGAATAACCCGACCCGAATGCCCACCCCTAACTACTACTATTATTATTATATTCTCGTCGAATACTTTATTAGTAAAACATTACACAAATTAATTATTAGTAAAATTTAATGATTTTATTCCAGACTCTGTGTACATGATGAAATGTGTGTTGATACACAGACCACCACTAGCAACTAGCAACACTCTCCTGTCGCCATCCCAGTTACTTGGAACCCTAAATTCTCTCTTTAATTTTGGCATTTTGGCTTTTGTTTTTCATACGCACACACAGACAAAATTCTGTTTTTCGTCATGCATTTTTTGGTATTACTTTTCTGCTCTTTTTGTATTTTCTTTATTATATAATTTTGCTATAGCTATTTTATATTACACACTTGATTTTTCAGTATTTCACATTTTCTTTTTTTTTTTTGAAAGAATTGGATGGGAATGTAATTACCAAAAACAAAAAGGGTGTTGGTAGTTGTAATTGTTGTCTGTTTGAAACAAGTTGCATGGTCTGAATCGCCTAAGAAAAACTCCTGTCACGGGACCTCTTTCCACTACCTCCCTCTACGCCATATGCTCCCATTTTTGGACCACATCTTTTTTTTTTTGACATTAATTAGAACTATGTTTACAAGGAAGAACCTTAATTATTATCGATCTCATCTTAGCTTATTTATATATTTCACGAAAAACAACTTTCTAATTATTATCATCTACTTAATATGTGTTCCGTTCTTGAGATTTATTATATTGTAATTAAGTTATATAAGAATTAAATCTTGGAGTACTTACTAGAAGAAAGCCTGTTGTTGTAGACTTGTAGTCACAAATAATTGAATTTTTTGGACCCTTTCCTACGATCGATATTTGATCACATGCATCATGATTCATGGATGTCATTCAAAATTTAATTCTAATATTGTTATGGCATTTGGAGTAGATATTTTGAAAAATAAGAAATACAAGTAGGAATGTGTATGCAATAAATTAAGTGGAGAAAACAATACCATGCAATGTACCCCTCTTCTCAAGTACCATTTTGAAAGTACGTATAAATAAACCCATGCACACTTGGTAAATACACTTTTGATTTATACGTAATTTTACCCATATACACGTTGATGTTTGTAAAATATGTGTGGTAGAAAATAGAAATATAATTTATAAAGTTCACTTGGTGTAGCATAGTACAAACGCATAATACATATATAATATGTGTGTTTGTATGCATATATTTATATGTATGTATGTATGTATGTAGAGTATTTAGATAAAAATATAAAAAGATGGATATGTGAAAAGAGATGCATGTGAATGAGGAATGAGTTATAAATTGAAGTGAGCATATAACGTACAACAACCCATTGAACTCTCTTTAAAAGCAAGATGGACAAGGATCCATCAGTATTGTTGTCTGAAACTGAAACGTGTTGGACCACCAAACACAGATTCATCATCATCATCCCTCACTAATTTAAAGCACAACCCTTCATTTTTACTTGCCAATTATATCATCAGTCTCTTTCCTCTAACAAAATTCCCACCTCCAAAAAATAAAAAATTAATTATTTATAAAATATAGCAAAATATAAACATGCATTGCATTGTCCTTAAATTGGACAACTAGAATACATGCTAATTAACATGGAGGACTATATATATACTAGCTCAATGGTTGTTTTTTTTTTGTTTTTTGTTTTTTTTTTTTTTGGAAAAAATGAGTCATCAAATACAATACTAATAAAGAATGTGACAGCTAAATTGTATATGAAAAGTCATATATCAATATATATATATATATATATATATATATATATATATATATATATATATATATATACACGAACATGGCAAGTACATGTGAGTAATTGTGGAACCTACTAGTTCATTGAATTTTAGCTAGAATGGGGGTGGAATATCATTTTCCTCAGATCTCCACAGGATCTTGATGTTGAATCCCGAATATATTGTTTTCTTCTCTCACATATGACAATCTATAAATACATACTCCCTCTCTCTCTCTCTCTCTCTCTCTCTCTCTATATATATATATATATATATATATATATATATATATATATATATATATATATATATATATATATATATATATATATATATATATATATATATATATATATATATATATATATATATATATATATATATATATATATATATAGATATAGAGATATATATATATATATAGATATAGCGAGAGAGAAAGAGAATGCGAGTGTGTGCGAGAGAGAGTAAGAGAAGATATATTTATATGGGGGGATAAAAAAATCTTTTTCTAAGTGGGGATTCCCATGAATATACCGGAAAAAACATATACATTCACACACATTCTTAAATATATATATTGACACATATATTTATATATATATATATATATATATATATATATATATATATACATATATATATATATATATATATATATATATATATATATATATATATATATATTGCTGAATTTATACGAATCTATGTCTGCTTTCAGAAATCACCGCTATGGAAACAAGAGAAGCACCACCTTCTCATTTACTGGTTAAGATTGAATATTTCTCCTTGCTTGGCACGTGTGGTATTGACGAATACGAAACCAGGGTATTTGTGGCTGGAGACTATAAGTGGTAGGCATATTCC